ATATATATATATATATATATATATATGAATTATACATATGCACATATATCTTGCCTTTCTCAATGCAGCACCCAATGAGTTTGATTACATTCGGATGGTCTTCGAGAAGCGCATGAGTGGCAAGCTCTCTCAAAAAGTTGTTACGGTCGTCGATGCTGCTACCAGTTTTCAATTGTTTCACTGCCACCGTCATTGTCGTTTGTTCAAGTTTAATCGAAGCCTTGTGAACCTCTCCAAATTGACCTTCCCCTACTTTCTCGAAAAATGTTATTTTCTCTCTCTTTAGTTCCATAGAGGAATCCCACTGGTTGACATATACTGCTGATACTCCTTTGTTTTGACGCTTAACAAAATAAAGATACCGTATTATGCTTTTTCTATTTCACCTATTACCACCGATAATATAATCATAATTATCCACAGCATTATCATCATCATTTTCATCATCATTATTATCATCATTATCATTATAATTATTACCATCATTATTATCATCATTACCGTTGTCACAGTTGGTACAGTACTATACTACTGACGATCATTTTTATTTTCAATTAATTAAACTTAAAAAACATATAGCTACCCGTTTTATGCTGATCCTGGATTTTGGTGGTCGAGTTCGGCTTGTCTTACTCGATGTTGCTTTTTCGGATTTTGAATATACATAGGGTGCGGTTTTCTGTAGTGTGCAATATGTTTTCTCAATTAATAAATGAAACTAACTTAGAGGTGATAATGTATTGTTATAGTACCTTACAAAAATTACACAGGCTTTGGCCTGCACGTAAATTGTTAATAATAATTGTAGAAATGTTCATGTTTCTTGAATATCAATATTCAGTGACATGGCAGATCACAGACCCACACGCTTAAAGCTTTGTCCAGGTATAAAATTTCCTTAGACAAAAAAACTGTCGTATATACGTCCATATAGTCATGATTCGTCTATATATGACCATGGTGTGTTGTCATCATGACCATATTTAGGCATGTCACATGTATATGTCAAATAAAATTTGATAATAGGTAGTTTTCGCCGCACGACGTCAACCTTAACTTTAACGTTAGTACCCAACATTCAGCGCGATAGCTCCGCCCCTTTTTGTAAACAAATCGAAATATGCAAGCGCAAACCCGTAACTAACGTACGTCGAGCACGTAAAATCCTGAAATTAACGTACTCCGCAACGCAAGATGAATAAATTATGACGTCATCCTTTAACGTTGTTGACAGTCTAGACAGGACGTAAACCTTGTTTGCATTAAATCGCTACACGCTATCGATTTTGGCGATGCTTATTGGTTGGCCGAATCGGGAGAAAATTCGGGACAGTTTCGCAATGTAAATAGTGCAGTGAAAACACTGTACATTTTATGACAGGATTTAGTATGACTATGACACATATTGCTACAACAATTTTGGTTTATTAACAGTGGGGTGTTGGCGTAACTTACGTCTTTAGATGTCGATACATTCCATTCATTCACAAATTCCAAGTATTTTTTCATGAATGCATTTAGGAATTCCTGTAAAATAAAAAAATATTATTTTAAATATTATTTCCATTATTATTATTATTTCCACATTAGTTCATACATAATGGACTGTTTCTGGCTATTGTAATGCGTTCTGATTAGTAGTCCATATTATTGAATTAATGAGAACTATGGAAGCAGTAAACCAAATATAAGGTATATCAATTAATTTACCTGAGGAAGGCGGTCTTCTTGATCAGGAAGCGGTTTACTCGGAGTCGGGAAGAAAAAGGAATCCTGTTAAGATGGAAATCAACACAATAACTTCCTTTTTCTTAATGAAATAATGGATTTAAAGTAGCTATACGCTGGAATAGAAGCATTCGGATGGGTTGCAGAAAAGGCCGGATTGATTGAAGTGTCTGATTTTGACTCTTTCTTAGAGTAGACATTTCTCAGGATGGGTAAATACATTTTGGGAAGAAAATAAATAAGGCAGGTACGCGTATGTAGTATTTAGAGTCAGGTGAGATTGTTCCTATTTACTCTGTTAAAAGAAGATTTACATAATCAATTCTAGAACAAGGGCATGAAATATTGTGCCTTGTGTCAATCAAGAAATGTTCTAATTCGGTACAGTAATCGAATTAGACTTGCCACAAGTCCCTTACTATATTTCGTCTTCATTCTGGACAGCGTCACAAAAACGAGTAAGTTAGACAGACGGAATAATAAATCGAGTATGGGACGCCAATTTAATTTGGTATGACGCGCAATAACGAGTGAGTAACCCAAAATTAGAATCGATTTGCCAAATTATCTGGTCAGAGTTGAATGATATCATCTGTCAATGGACACCAATATATTGATTATCGATTATTGATAACATGTCTATAAGCTCCGAAAGAGCCTTTTCTCAGTTTTAAAAGATCGACGACAGTGTAGGCCTACTACTTACTTGCTATATTGCTATATAAGAACGTATACTTACAATACTTGGGAGATTACATTTTATCAGTGGATGGTCCTGAAATAACAAATGTTATGAACCAGTTTGACAAATATTACATTAAAAAAAATTCTTATTATATTATTTTAGGCACACTTAAACACTGCCCGGCCATGTGGCAATCCCTTTCACAAGCCAACACACTAGATGTGCTACATAAATAAGTTTGAGGCTTAGGGAGTGGAGTTGATTTTGATCATGAGGAAAATCCTGTTACCTTGGCAATAGGCAGGAATGAGATTCAGGATCCTGTTATATTGAAAGGCAAACCTTAACCACCAATCAGCTCCACTCGAATATGCCTGTTTAGTGCCATACAGTAACGATGTGAAGATTATTGTTACTCAGGTTGTATATTTAGCCATGATTTTGGTTGGTCAGTTCTCCAAATGGCTACAAAGATCTTATAAACACGAGATAGCGTTCTCCGGGATTTACGCGTGCAAATTCTGTAATAAGGCATGAATGGCGCCCTCTTGCTAAATGGGAAACTTTTGAACCTTGACCGACGCTTCTATTTGTTACGCGTAAATCGCGGAGAACGCTATCTTGTGTTTATAAGATCTTTGATGGCTACTACTACAGAGTGATGGCGTACTTTGATCAAGAGGAGAAAAAGAATCTTTGGCTTTTTCATGATTGAATGTAACTTCACTTTTTATTATTGCTTATGTTGCATTAGTACCTATTTCTTTAGCTCCCCGCTGTTACTATTATTCTTTATGTTTACGGAATTCACAACAGCTGAAATGGTAGAATCTCGCCTGCCAGAGAAAATCCAGTTCCCTTAATTCAATAAGCCAATTCGTAGTTTCAACTGTACATGTCCGTATCAAGGTCAATCCTTACACACAGCATAGGTTTATGTCAATTGATTGCATACGGGCATGCGCAGTTCAAACTACGAATTTACTATTTATTAATAGGTCAGATGTTCACATAAACTCACCGAATCTGCAACACTTTGGTTAGACTTCGAATCTTTTCTTAGATCAATTGACCTATGTGGCTGTAAAGAAATGCATTATTATCATAATCATACCATTATCATTCTTATCACCATCAGCATCTTTGTCGTCAATGTTTTACGCCATCATTACCAACACCATATCGTCACCGTCATCATCATTATCATCATCATCATAATCATCACAATCATCATCGGCATTATCATCACCATCATTATTGGCATAATCATTCTAATGTTATGAACACATTTATTGATAGTTCCTTACTTGTGAATTTTCTTCATCTTCTGTAATTTCTTCCTGTAATAATAATAAACAGTTTTATGAAAACTTAATTAAATCATTACAGTAGATGCTGTTGTCGTAATAATCGACATCGTCATTCTCACCAACATGTTCTTGTCCTGTATGTAGTTTAAAAAAATCATTATCATCATCCTCATCTGCGTCGTCATCGATTAGCGTCATCATCAACATTGTCACCAACGTATTATCAACATCACTATTCATTATTATCGTCATCTTGTGTGAATTTCATTCATTAGCGTCGTCATTATAACATCACTTTCATCATTGTCGTCTTCATCGCCACCCTCATAATTATTACTATAACCACCACCACTACCATCATCATAGTATAGCAATCATCAGCATCATCATCATCATCATCATCATTATCATCATTATATTCATCATCATTACCACCATCATCATTATATTCATCATCATCATCGTCATCATCATCATCATTATATTCATCATCATCATCATCATCATCATCATCGTCATTATCATCATCATCCTCATCAATAATATATTCATCAACTTCATCCCCATCATCACTATCATCAGGGAGCAGTCATGATTTCATCATCATCATCATATTTTTCTTGGTGTCAATGCTACAAACATTTTCTAGCTGAGTGTTAGTGACTTACTTGTGAATATCCTTGATTACTTGTGACCGTATCCTGTATGTACAACGAAAATATTTATTTTTGTTGGTAAAAGTTTCGATAATCATCATAATCATTATCGCCATCATAAGCATCATTCATTATCATTCTCATCATCGTAATTGTTACCATCCTTATCATCACCATCATTCTTAGCACCGTCATCATCAACAACATCAACATCAACATAATCATCTTCATCTTTAGCATCATCGTGTTTTTCATGTTGATACTACGCAAAGGGTTCCTTAGATATTTTCCAGTTGATTAGACTTACCATTGTAATTGGGGCTTCAACTTCTTTAACGCTTATCTGCAGAATTATACAAATTCCATAACGAGTTGGTTATTTACTAGTACGCTATGTATATTAATGTTTATTCAATTGTTAATTATCGTCAATAATGGCAACAAAAAATGTGTACGATTTCTGATGATTCCTGGATAATTAACATAAAATTATTATTTTCCAACAAACAACAAACAATCTTATTTAAATACCATACCTTTTTTCTACAGCATACCACTACCACAGCCAGAGTTATCACCAAGACAAAGCAAGCGACACATATCACGATGACGATTTCCAAAGGAAGACCATCTAATAAAAAAAATATACATATAATAAAGAATACATATATATAGGCCTATATATATATATAGGCCTGTACATATACACATGCA